GGCAGGTGAAGCATTAGGGGGTCTTTGCCCAAGGACCCTACTGGTAAGGTAGGTATCAGCCGGGATTTGAACCCCAGTCTCCTAAGTCAAAAGCGGTGCTCTAACCACTACACTATCCAGCCGCTCTGGATATATATATTCCCATAAGCTCTCAGAGCACAGAGATATAGATTATGTCACGCTCCTTCTGTCAACTAGAGATTCCAAATCTGCCTGGGATCACGTAAAAGTTTGATATATAAGAAATATGGTCAATGTAACTGACAACTCCAATGCCAGAAGATCAGTGGCCCTGAGGAATGAGAGTGTGCATATTGAAGGGGAGAATTTGGGGAAAGGACCCAGTTTCCCCATCCTTGCTCTCATTACTAGTTGTTCCTGTTACTACTAGTATTAATATTACTAACAGATGCTGTAGCCTATCTGGAAGACTTGTTTTCAGCAAATTCTGAAGCTGGGCAGCTAAGGTTCTATAGTGGTTTTCTCAACCTTTGCAACTTTAAGATGTCTGGACTTCAACTCCCAGAATTCCCCAGCCAGCCTAGCTGGCTGGAGAATTCTGGGATTTAAAGTCCAAGCATCTTAAAGTTGCCAAGATTGAGAAACACTGTTCTATAACTTAAAGAGTGATGTAGTATCAGTATGCATATAAGCCTTCTGAAAGTATCGCACAAATACTGCTTTTATAAAGTTCCAGTAAAGAGGGTTTGTATTGTCATTTATCATCATCATGGGTTGCAACATAGTTGAATATAGTGTATGCATTATGTATGTATGTTTTTATCTTCAGTCATCGAAGTTCTTAGAGCAAATCAGAATACCAAAGATTTATAATTGTTTTTAATAAGATACCTGGTTGAACATTATCTTGAGTTTTATTGTTCTGGTACGTTTACAGTATGAGTGAAGTCCATTTCTTTACAAGCAAAAAGCCCATTCATTTTTTTTCCTTTGTTTTTAAACAAAAGACATGACCCGGAGGACCCGATGCTTCCCAAGGTGGGAGATAG